TATAGCTACTTAAACGCACTGTATCGCATCCCAGCCAGCTTCCTGCGTTCAGGGGCGGTGCGGTGCATTGAAGTCAATAGCACCGCAGCCACACCCCCTGCCCGCACCAAAATGCGCACATCAATGTCTGCGTTTCGGTCCAGTGCGGTCTGAAAAAACAGTGTGTGCGCTGTAAATGGTGCGAACAAGTCCTTAAAGGCAACCTGGGAAGGACTAAGTTGTCTAGTAAGGTAACCTCTAATTTCTGGAAGATTCTAACTGTAAGAAGGCATATTAATGCTGATAACAGGAAACAGAGAAATGTTGTCTGCTCACCACTCGGAACTCCGATGGTAGTAATACCCTTCTATCGTTGCGGCAGACTTCTGAAAGCATATATAATAGAAGCCAGCAAAGGAAGCGCCACTGATGTCTTTGATTGTGTGATCGGGCACCAAGAACTGCTCCTATGGAAACAGAGGAAGAGAGGTCAGCGGGACAGAACACAACGAATACAGAGAGCACTGACATCATGTATTGGGGCACGCAGCCTCCTTATCCCAGTCTGGCTAAAGACCTCCTACCCTCTCTCAGCCAGAATGAAGAAGGTTGTCTCAAGCACAAGACCTATTTAATTACAGGTATTTATATAGCGCCAACAATTTAAGCAGTGCTTTACATACTCCACATTTACATAAGTCCCTGCCCTAGTCTTTGGAGTGTTGCAGCTAACCTGAGTACCCAGAGGAAACCCATGCAAGCACAGGGAGAACACGCTAACTCCTTGCAGACAGTGTCCTGACTGGGATTTAAACCGAGTACCCAAAAGTGCTGCAAGACGCAGAGCTTGGTTTCCCTACTCCAGTCCCAAGTTGGAAAGTAGAAAGTGATGCTGCAACACTAAACAATTTTTAAAGCGGACCAAGAAACCTTGACTTTAGATCCACTGCTTCAAACTGATGCCTGAGTTCCAAAACACAAGAGTCAGCCAATCAGTGTCTCCGCTTCATACAGAGCAGTAGCATAAAAGCAGAATTGATGGCAGCAGATGGAGCCCATATCAGCTGATAGGGAAGCCTTTCAAGTTATAAATGGACTTTCAAAACTTTTGTGTACAAATTTTTGGGTAGGCAACCATCATGTCTCCGCCTCCGGGAGTCTGGGAGAGTGTTGAAATGATTTGGAGGACTTGTAGTTCCACAACAGCTGGAGTGCCCAGGCTGCCTACCCCTGGATTAGAGCATCTATATACACTGAGAGGCCAGATTTTTATGACCACCCCATCAGTACTTCGTTGGGCCGCCTTTTGCCTTCAATACTGCGGCGATTCTTCTTGGCATTGACTCCACGAGATGTTGAAAGGTGAAACGAGGAATCTGACACCATGCCTGATGAATAGCACTGTCCAGTTCTGTGAGATTTGATGGTTGTGGAACCAGCTGCCTGATGGCTCTTTCAACTTTGTCCCACAAATGCTCCAATTGGATTGAGATCTGGTGATTGTGGGGGCCACCTAAGCAAGGTTAAGTCTCCCTCATGTTCTTGAAACCACTCCTGCACAATACGAGCACTGTGGCATGTCGCTATGTCTTGTTGGAAGAAGCCATCTCCATTGGGATACGCCATCAACATGATCGGATGAACCTGATCAGCAACGATACTTTGGTATGTTGTGCTATTCCGACGTTGTTCCACACTAATTAAAGGGCCCAAATCATGCCAGGAAAACATGCCAGCTTGAAGGGTTGTACTCATGCATGTGGGGTGCATGCTTTCACGCTGTTTCCGCCAAATTCTCACTCTGCCATCTGCATGATGCAACTGGAATCGTGATTCATCGGACCACATTACTTTTTTCCAATGCTCGACTGTCCAATCCTTGTGTTCCTGTGCGAATTGGAGACGTTTTATCTTGTTAACTGCAGACAGCAAAGGTGTTGGAACCGGCCTTCGGCTTCCACATCCCACACGATGCAGTGTATGGCGAACAGTGCGTTCAGAGATCATTTGAGAGGATCCCTGATTAAGATCTGCGTCCCGCTAGTAACTTCAGCGCCAAATTATAGCTAATTTGCCTACAAACGTCAGGTGGTCATAATAATCTGGCCACTCAGTGTATATGGTGAATCTACGAGGAGGCGTCAGTACACAATGACGTCCGTAGCAGCCCAACAAAAACTTTTTACATAGGTGGTTTAGGATTTTTTGTGAATATGGAAGTTTCATAACAGAGGTTTGTCTAGATTTATACGATTGTAGCTCAAAAGTCAAAAAGACTCTTGTGCTGGGACGATGGTACATTCCCTTACTAGGAGAATTCACGGATACCATGCACAAGTCATTAATACCGTTCAATATTTGACTTCAGGACCACAGTAATGATCTTTACCTTCCATCTCATGAAGACATAGTCTCCAGCTTTCAACTCATCAAAACCAAAGTCATCGGAATTGAAGGTTTTCGCGTACTGATAGAAGGCCTGGAACTTGCCCTGCGGACAGACAAAAGGACAGAATAAAAAAGGACCAACGTTACAGAAAAGTCATGAACAAAGCTTTACTTGGTATTCAAGTGATTACATGCATACAGGGGAAGATATTATTATACAGGGTTTATATAGCGCCAGCAATTTGCGCAGCGCTTTACACAATGGAGGAGACCGTACAATTCCAAATACAAATTTACAATACAATACAGTTTCAGTACAATAGGGTTAGGAAGGCCCTGCTCGTGAGAGCTTACAATCTACTAAGAGGGGCAAGTGATACAAAAGGTAATAATTGTGAGTGAGCTATTGGAGGAAGTAAAAGGCAATTATGTTGAGATGAGGTGGGCAGCGTAGGAGATAGGCGGACAGATTGGGGTAAGGAGTTACAGCGGCCCGGGACGCAGACAATCTATGTCCAGGGCTGCTCATCTGTCCTTGTATGCATGTAAGGGCTCTGGAGTGCTGGTGAATGCATACAGCCATGGCGTCGGTCATCTCCGGATGCATTATGCACTCCATGTGCCCGTGCGATGACACAATGCATGTGGCCAATTGAGCATGGGACACTGTTGTTCCTTTCAAGCTAATTTTTTACATCTTGATTGCAAGATATTCTTGTGCACCACTTAACCTGCTAGTGCGTATATGTATGTATATACACACATTGTATGTATGTATGTATGTATGTATGTATGTATGTATGTATGTATGTTTATATATATATATATATATATACATATACATACATACATACATACATACACATATACACACACACAGTTATGTAGCAAATGTGGAAGCAAAGCCCTGTCTCTACCAAGGTGGCCGCCTCCATAGAGAGTCATAGAGCAGATACAGGCACGGTTTGTTCTGTAATGATGCAAATAGGTATCAATAGGTATCCTATAAATGTGAACAGAGTCAAGCACAGAGGTGCTGCTGACAGCAGTCAGATTCCTTCACTTTTAAACCCTACAAATAAAGAGCATCTGGTCGGATACTTTCGGCAACAAAGATAATTTTTTTTCTTAACAAATGAATACAAGCAGAACTGTGAGATATCAATACTGCCACTTACCCAGTGCTTCCGATCCACATCTTCGTCTGCGTCCCATTTTCTAGTTAGAAAAGGGTGTTTTCTACTAATTATTTCACCTTCAAAGAAGGTGGTGAGGGTTGGGTATTCCTGGAAGCAGGAGACAGTGGTAAGCTTTGGCACAATTGTACAAGAACAACTAAAAACACAACTGTATAACACCATATACAATGACAAACCGGTCTGTCCACACATGTATGTGACATTGACAATAGCTCATTCTTCCATTAGTGGTTTTACGTGTATTCCTATTGTGGCATTGCGTGGCAATACCACGGTATAATGTGGCATCAAAGTCACCCAGGACTCCCAGCAAGAGTGGCTGAGCGGCTCCAGAAAAGTATGGTTACCAGGAAAGAGCTGGTTTTACAACTCATTCCGGGTTTTCTGGATTATAGTTGGGATCCTGGAGCCAGGAGATTTCTAAGCGAACTGGGAGGGAAGAAATCTCCATTCCTGGGTCCGGGCTTTAGTGGTGACCAGCACCAAATGATGGTGCACCTGTGCACAGCCCTTATGAGGAGGATGCTGGGTCAGGTTCAAGGCTCCACCTGGGTGACAGAAGGAGGTCTCTGTGCAGGAGTCAGGAGGGCTCCACCCTGGGACCAGTCTGCGGCTGGCGGACTGACGTGTGTGTCACTTGTGTGGTGAAAAGTGTTTGGTAATCAGACAACCTAAAGTCGGTGGACTTTGAAAGTGCTATTAGTGCTAAGTGGATGAAGAAAGAAAAACTGTACTTAGTGTTTGAAAACCCCAGCGAGGGTGATCACATTATTTTGTGAACCTTCATTTAATAAAAGTGGGCAAGGAAGCCCTTAAAAGAAGTCATAAGCGAGTGGATGCGTCCTTAATGCGCTACCATTGGAAGCTAAATCTCACACTATTGGTAACCGTCCGTGATGCTTTATTTTTATTTGCACTGGACAGACAGACAGTGTATCACAGACAGTTCAGTTATCAACTGTGTTGTTGCAAGTGGGATATTATGGCTACAATCACCTTAAACTGATGCCAAACCGCCTTCTGTGTCCCATTGGGAATATTTCCCTTCACTTCCTGTCTGATAGCCACAATAGGAAGTGAGAGGAAATCTTTCCAAAGAGATGGTCACCCATTGGAAGATTTGCCATCTGTTCTTGTTCTGGTGACAACCCAACATTTAAGATTTATTTTTACTAATAAAAAGTCACCAGGACACATAGAGAGGGTGAATCTCTTGGTATTTATCAGGCAAATATATTATCCTCCGCCAATTTGCTTAGCACTGTGTATCCGAAGTGTTCACTGAAGTGCTGCAGAACAGCTACTCAGCGCTTGGCTAAGGAACTGAAAACTGGGAGCCGAGATTCTTCCTCCCAGTTTTCAATATGTATGAAAGAATTAATAATAATCGTTTGGCTCTTTAGGCCTTGTTCACACCAAGCGCGGAGCAGATCCAGAGCAGAGCAGGTGCAGACCGGATCAAAACTGCGTCCAATGTATTCCAATGGTATTTTGACCTCCAGTTCACATCGCAGCGTGTGGATCCAGAGCAGGTGAAAAAACTGCGGCAAGCCCTATTTTACCTGCTCTGGAACGCATCAAAAACGCATGCAAGTGCCTGAAAGCCCATGTTAAACTTAAAAAAAGTAAAAAAAAAATGTTTTTTTTTTAACCAAAACCGGCCCGGAACGCATCAAAAACGCGGCACAACCCACTGCACTGCATGTGCAGAAACCTGACCGGATCTGCATTTGGTGTGAACAAGGCCTTAAGCACAGTTTTTTACAATACAGGTCCTCTTTAGTGAGGTGAGGTATTGGGGGGGTGGGGAGGCAGTTGACGACGACGACACCTTACCTCAGTAAGGCCTTTTATCTTCAAGTATCCACACAGATAGGCATTCTCCATGTCCACATGCTAAAGAGAAAAGGAATGCTGGTTAAAATAAAGACAATTAAAAATAAGGATAAACAGATGTAAATGTTATTAATAAAATGTATGCAGCGATCCTTTCATTGTATAAGTTATTTTTATTTTATTATTAATTCTTTTATACATATTGAGAACTGGGAGGAAGAATCTCGGCTCCTAGAAGTAAATTATTTACAAGCAAAGAGATAAAAGGTCTGGAAAAATAGAAATCTGTTTACCATCGGAAAAAAATTAAATAAAATTGGAATACGACCGCCTCATATAGACAAACCTATTTCCAACACGGTCATGAGATGTGTTCCTTAAAGTGGACCTCCGGGTTTTAGCCCAAAATACAAAGCCCGGGAGAAAATAAACCAAAAAGCAGCTTTGGCTGTAATACTCGCCTTTGCCCCTGGGCTGTCCTCCAGCAATAATTCCATTCCGCCACTAGATGGCGCTAGTCTTTCGGGTTAAAATGACAGACGGTGTCATTCAAACCACTTTTTTCGAGCCCAGGATGTCATGTACCTGCCCCCCTGGGAGGCGCATCATCATGTCAATATGGTCGCAGGGGAAGGGCTGTATAGAAAATGAAAGGCTGGAGTTCCCCTTTAACCACTTCAGGACCATACTATGTACCTGTACTTGTCCTGGCCTTGAAGTGGTTGTACCAAGATCATGGGCTGCTATATAGTAAAGGACGACCTGTCTATAATCTACAACACAGACGTCATCAGCACAGAGAGCTCACAGGCGCAGCAGAGTTCATGTAAGGACGCGACCAACATTTTCCACTCACTGAACGCCGGGACAACACAAACACTGCAAGCACTGGCTCTGTATATCACATAACAACGTGCCCGGCCAGTTGTTGCTTCCCAGCAATGCCAATTCTTACAGCTAAGGTCACATCTACCGTATCTGCTGCAATTAATACCATCCGTGCCTGAGCCAAAATTCTCCTCCATTTGTATCTCACATGCTCCCCCTCCCAGACACTGCAGCTCACAGTGGGAGGGAATCAGCAGCAAAGGCCTTGCTGTCAATCCAGTGAGCGGGACTAGGTGTGGCCAGGTGCTGATTGACAAGCTACAGGCTCATAAATCAGCAGCGACAATGCTGATAGCCACACCACCTGCAACATCTTCCACCTCCCACTGTAGTGCAAGCACGCGCAGCCTACACGAGGGTGACAACTCTGCTCTGAACTCAGGAGCAGTGCAGCGTCGTTGCCACCCCATCACAGGAAGCTGCATTAGGTGAACGTCAATGGCAGGATCAACGGATATTTGCTGGACTTTGAAAACGGAAGGTGCAGATGCTCTTATAATTTGGGGTTCTTGAGCATTTTTGCTTTGGTGGGGGAGGGGGGAGGCCATAGATCTACTTTATCATCACCTCGGGCACCTACAATTTCAACAAAATTGTATGTAAACCCAAACAATGGACTTTCTACTTTGCTCCCTTTTGTCAAATATAAATTTTAAAAAGCTTTTGTTATATCGATAATAGAGCCTCCCCAACATCCGTCACTCGTCCGCCTCCCTCCAACATCCGTCACCCGTCCTCCAACATCCGTCACTCGTCCGCCTCCCTCCAACATCCGTCACTCGTCCGCCTCCCTCCAACATCCGTCACCCGTCC